AAAAAAAAAAAAAAAGAAAGAAAGAAAGAAAAGAAAAAAACTGTAACAATCATAGACTTGCTTCATAAAGCTCATTTATATAGTTAAGCCATGGTTGCTAGTTCCAGAAATTATTCTTTCTCAAAAAGCTCATTTAAAACTTCTCAAAGATTAAAAATTCTCCAGCTTTTCTTGAGGAATTATTTTCTATCAACTTTGTATTTCATTTATCATTTTAATAAATGTGTTCTCTCTCTTAGATGTCAGTATTTGCCCGTAGCTGTGCTGCCTTTTGTCATAACTGGAGAGTCAGTAGTGAGAAGCGTGAAGTTTTTAAAAGTCTCCTGAGATATGGACTGTATTACTGTGAAGTTAATGATTATTTTAGTATTGTGTGAGGGGTTTTGAGCCTCAAAAACAAATGCATACTCTTTTCTGAAGAGAGGTTTTTAAGAGCATCTCAATGATAAAGGTGTGAGGCGTACGTTTGAATCCTGGTTCTGCTCCTTGCCAGCTACTTGACCTTGAACAAGTTATTAAGCGTTAAGTATTATGTGCCTTGAATTCCTCATCTATAAAAAGAGGATAGTCATAAGACTTATAGGATTGTTGTGAGCATTAAAATACAATTGTAGCAGAGGGTAGACAAGTCAATAGTTGGTTACTTTTTTAAAAAGTTTTTAAATTTTAGAGAGTGCATGGAAGCGAGGAAGAGGGGCAGATGGAGGTGGGTAGAGAGAAAGAGATCTTTTTTTTTTTAAGAGAGAAAATCTTAAGCAGGCTCTGTGCTCAACACGGAGCCCAAAGCAGGGCTTGATCCCACAACTCTGGGATCATGCCCTGAGCTGAAATCAAGAGTCAGATACTCAGCCAACTGAACCACCCAGGTGCCCCATCTTGTTCTTACTTTTATATATTTTTCTACTTTGTAATGTTTTTCTGGATGGGGGTTTGCTTCTCTTTTAGGTTCAGAGCATCATTCGCTCCCAAACCAGTATGGGTATGCGTCACAGAGATCGTCCTACTACCGGCAACACCCTCAAGTCTGGCTTGTGTTCAGCCCTCACGACCTACTTCTTTGGAGCTGATCTTAAGGGAAAGCTGACAATCAAAAACTTCCTTGAATTTCAGCGTAAACTTCAGCATGATGTTCTGAAACTAGAGGTTGGTATCCCTGGGCTTCAGGGGATCAGAGCACTGTCCTCACATATGCACTTAGATCCTCTGGGCTGGGGAGGCCTGCACTATAGACATTCTTTCATTCTGTCTCCAGCTGTGAGAACTGATTGGTTTGAACCAGATAACAGTTGGGAAATATTATGTTCTGTGAAGAAGTCTTGGAGTGAGGTGGTTCTGGGACCGAAAGCCAAAACACTCTAAATTGAAAATCTTAGTTGTCTTTGGATACTCAGCTTGAGGAAGGAAAAATTCAGGGGCCAGAGCAGTGCTCACCCTGACCACGTATCCCCAGTTTTATGTTATTTTGTAGAAGGCACCAGAGGTGGAGGGGGGATCATAAGTAGATCTTTCTTTGAAAGTTTACCAAGGTAAAAACTGCTGGAAACCCAAAATGTCAGAATAAAAATACAAGTGCTCGGAGTTGGAAAAATGTCATACGGTGTTTGGAGATTTACTTTTCCACTCACGGTTTAGACCATCGTGCTATTCAGTTCCCAAAAACAATTCTATAAGGACATTACCTTTCTCTGTGTGTTTACTTACTGAATTAAGTGTATTTTGAGTTAATTGCTACTAAGTCTGTTCAATTCAAAATATTCATTAAGTGTCTCCTAATGCACTTTTTTGTGGAAAAACTGAAACCTCATTTCTTCAGATTTTTTAAAAATTCCCTGAGATGGTATTTCTCAACCTGTTTTTTTAAAAAACATGTTTAATATTCATTTGAAATTTGAAACCATCAAACTACTCTGACTAAAAACGCATTTAAGTATTGGAGAAAAGCACTGCTTTGTTTTTAAATTATGTATATTACTTCTTCAGCTGCTCTTCCATTTTTCTCTAAGAGTCTGATAATGCTACCCCCACCTTTTACCCACTCAACTCGATTGAGACAGTTTGAAAAATCACAACCGAATTCCCAGTATTGATAAGAACACTGTCGAATGTTCATACTTTAAGAAAGAAGTGTAGATAATACTAAAAATCAGATCAAACCTTGAAATGTGCTTTAGTAATTGTTTTTTAAAAATGATGTAATTGATATTCAAAGAATTTCCCTCATAAAAACAAAAAACTAATGCATCTCTACAATTCAGCCTGCTTGAGAACAGCTCTTGTCCCCTATAGTAGGTGGGAAGTGGTGTGTGTGTGTGTGTGTGTGTGTGTGTGTGTGTGTGTGTGTGTCTGTGTGCGTCTGTGTGTACACACACACATAGAGAGAGAGAGAGAGCAGGGGAAGCAAAACTTTACTGTCCTAGAGTCTCTGACTGGAGCTGACAATCAAATTGACATAGAGCAGATTAACAGGAGAAAAGCACATGGATTTTAACACACACCTGGGAACCCCCATAGGAAAATGAAAACCCAAAGAAGTGGCTAGGCTTAAGAGAGTTTATATACTGAACTGAACAAAGACAGGCAGCTTACCTTTATAAAGTTTGCATTATTATCACCAGAGAAGTGGAGTCAAAGTTGAGAGTAATCCATATAAACAGATCATGTTTAAATAATTCTTAGCTTCCTTTAGTCTCCCCATATATTTTAGTTACTTTTCCATGGTTGCCTCTCTCCATTTCTTTCCTGCTGGTATAGAGAGGACATCTTTCACATCATCTTTCAGGAGTCTGATAACTTTTGTGTATCAGACCTAGTACATTTTGGTATGTACTAGGATTCTAGGCATATGCCTTTTTCCCCAGTATGCATGGTTTTCTTTAGAATGGTCTTCTTTGGAAATTTTATAACATAATCTGGGAATGTAAATTACTTACCAATTATATAATTACAATTTAACATAAATTATAGATCCATAAAATGCAGTTCGAGAATACAGGCAACAGTACTTTCAACAAACTTTAAACAACAGTTTGGGGTCATCAAGGGCACGAAGCAGGTGCCAGCCTGACCACAACCTAGCCTGACACTCATTCCTGGACACACAGGTCAGAGTCTCAAGAGACAGAGCATGGGGCTTTTGTCTTTCACTCTGAGAAGTTATAGAGCTGAAACCAAGCCCACTAACATTACCAGTGAGGTAGATTATCAATGTGGATCACCAATGAGGTAGAATGTTACAAAGCAGATGAGGGATTTCATACATGTATGCCTGCACACAGCCTACACCCAAATACAGACAAAAGGAGATCTAAAAGACAGTTGTATCTAAGATACTTATTGTGGAAGCTCTCTTGTATTTGGTATTGACTTAGGATCATCTATAGATTTTGGTCTAAGACTATCAAGACTCTTCCTGTTTGCCAATCAGCAATTCCTCGTGTAAGGGAATCAGTAGACCCTTTTGTGAAAGAACCCAGCCTAACATGTAATAAATATTCTATAAATGTTTAGTAATCCTGAATCCATTCTTTCCATGTAATGGTATGAGTCCAGTGAATAAGTGCCTCCTTATCAATAACTCCCAGATTTAAAGTTTCACAAGTCAGTTTTTTGTCTTTCCAATTAGATTTGGGTTTTTTTTTTTGTAATATGAAATTTATTGTCAGGTTGGTTTCCATACAACACCCAGTGCTCATCCCGACAGGTGCCCTCCTCTATTTGGGGTTTTTTTTCCAATGTTTATTTGTTTTGAGAGAGAGACAGAGAAAGAGAGTGCGTGCAAGTAGGGAGAAGGGGTAAGAGAGAAGGAGAGAGAGAATCCCAAGCAGGCTCTGCACTGTCAGTGCAGAGCCCAGTGCAGGGCTGGATCCCACAAACTGTGAGCTCATGAGCTGAGACAAAAATCAAGAGTCAGACACTCAACTGACTGAGCCACCCAGGTGCCCCTCCAGTTAGATTTGTAATTCTTTGAGAAAGTGTGAATAGAAGAAAGAACATACCTTTGGTGCTCTCATAATGAGACCTGAATTAAAATTTCATTTCCACCGCTTTCTGGCTCTGTGACATTTATTGAGTGAGTGATTGTCTCTGAGCCTAGGCCCTCATTTGTCAAACAGGGCAATGGTTAAATGAGATCGTGTTTCTTATGGGCTGAATTGTATTCCGCCAGAATTCTTATTTTGGAGCTCTTATCCCTAGTACCTCAGTATGTGACTGTATTTGGAAATAGGGTCCTTAAAGAGGTGATTAAGTTAAAATGAGGCCATTAGGGTGGACTCTAATGCAGTCCTACTGGTGTCTTTGTAAGAAGAGGAAATTTATTGACACGCAGACACCAGGGGTGCGCATGCACCGAGGAACAACTACGTAAAGAAACAGCAAGAGGGTAGCCAACTATAAGCCAAGGAGAGAAGCCTCAGAGGAGACCTGTTCTGCCTGTACCTTGATCTTAGACTTGCAGCCGCCAGAATTGTGAGAAAGTAAATTTGCATTGTTTGTTTACCCAGCTGATGGTATTTTGGTAAGGCAGCTCTAGCAAACAGATACAGTGGTATGTGCCTGATACCAGCTGACCTGTACTATACCTTTAATAAGTATTCTTTCACCTTCTCTGCATGTCCTCTGCCACTGCTATGGCAGTTGGCGCATAGTAGGCATTTAAACAGGTCACCTCAAATGAATGACTGAAAAGTCCTGTGTTGAAATACTTTTCTGATAAAACTTCTGGAAAATGGAAGCAAAGTTTTGTTTTTATGAAACACTTTTAATATTACTTTTCAAAGTATGGGTAATTTCTCCCTTCACTGAATATGAAACATAATCTCATCATCATAGCCAAGAGGAAAATGGAAATGATTAATAGTAGCTTAACTTTCATATGGGTTTTTATAATTCCATCATTCTATTTACCTCTTACTAGTTTTATTTCATAACTTATTTACTTTAAAATTTCAGATCAAGGAGATTTATTGTTCCACTTAGTTATTTCTGTCTTTTTCTCACTA